ATTTATTTTATTTATATCCCGCCTATCTGGTCGTGTGAGGACCACTCTAGGCGGCTAACAACATAAAAGTAATACAATAATATACATATAACCATTTTACATAACGAAAATGAAAAAAAAAATACTAAACAAAATGGGAGAGCTATAGGAGAAGGGAAAAGTCGTCAGGAGTTATCTGTTGGGAAGGCCTGCCTAAACATCCATGTTTTTAATTGTTTCTTACAAATACCCAGCGAGGGAGCCTGAAGGAATGAACTAAATTCCTTGAATAAATATTTGTCTTTATGACATTGAGATCATAATCAGCAGAATATTGTTTCTGCTTGAAAGGAAATATAAAACTAGAAGTGGGGTTCTGGAGGAAAACATTTACTGATGTTGGGGAAATAGATTGCAACAGCCAGAAGTCACGGCAGAAGATGCAGATACTCTGTAAATGATTATTCATACATTGCCTCGTGTCTCCTCTTTTTCATTTTGTTTCATGTTTTTAATTTTATGTTAACCACCTCATTTATCCCATGGAGGACTGGAGACCACAGCCTTTGAGGAGGGTGGTGGTGTCATGGTTGCTCAGATATTATCTTTTGCGATTGCTTATAGCCATTACTAGGTGATCAATCAATTGAATCATTTGAACTAGAAGATGTCCTCCTGATAACTATTTGGCGGATTGGGAAAGACCCAAAAATAGTCCCCTCCTCCCAAAAACCAAGCTGAACTCAAATGGAGTATGTGGGAAAAATCACAATGATTTGGAGCCAGGTGGCAGTTAAATTGCAATATACTGTAATTGGAGAACTAAATTGGCCAGACTTGAACATGCTTCAGATGCAGTTGCTGGCTTTGGAGACCTGATATGAGAATAGCATTTGCTTATTTGCTTCTGCTCCTCTCTACTTATATATATATATATATAAGTATATATATATGTGCAGAAAACAAAAAAAATTACAGAGAGCAGGAGACAATCTGAAGCGGCAGTCACCACTGTCTGTGGAGTCCTTCTGTATGAACTGGAAACCTGGGCCAGAAACGAAATGTAAAGATAGTTCATGACTTGAAAATATAAGTTCTTAATTAGATTGGCAGCCAGTACAAATCTTTCAGATCTGGTGTCACGTGGTCTCTCTTAGCAATCACAACACAATAGCCCTAGCTTTGAAATACGTACTAACTGACTTTAAAAAAAACACACCAAAAAACCAGGACGATTAGCGATACCTTTAATACATTTTATATATTAGAAAACATTTTATTTAGCACAATCTTTGGACTGCAGCCCACTTCCTCTGATGCATCAGCGTTTTGTACTATCTAGCCTGATGGCAAGAGCTGGAGAACTTAAAATTATTTATTTATTTATTTATTTATTTATACCCCGCCTATCTAGTCATTTCGACCGCTCTAGGCAGCTTCAACATTTGTGTGACATTCTGATTTGCCCTGGGAAATGTTTTGTGAAACTATAATAGTCAAGAGCAACTGCATTTTTGTGCTATTGTTTTTCCCTACCCCAGTCAGCTCTCTGAATTGCAAAAAACCAAAATGAAACAAACCCTGCCTTTTGGGCAGGACAAACACTACTGGACACCAAGAATCAAATGTATTAGTGACTTAAAGTAACCTGGATGGACACCATAGGATTCATCAAATTTTCTTGCTTTAAAAGAAAAAACATGGACAGGGTATGTTTATTTTAAAAAAACTCTCCATACAATTGTCGTGCACCTAACATGCAAAACTGTCATTCTTGTTTATTTCTCCTGCTCCCTTTCTTATTAGGCTAGGACCAAAGAATTACTGTGAGTGCATCAAATCCGACAAGATGGAAGCCTACCAACTGGAAAACTTCATCGATAAAGATAAACTTGCTCCCCTCACAGAAAGACGAGAAAAGGAGTTCAGAGATTATCAAAGAAGGTAACCTTAGGTCTCAATCTGTGCAGCATATTCTGGGATAGAAATCAGGCTGGATGGTACCCGCACATGGTTTATCTAGGTTACATTCAAGGAGGAAACAAAATATTTGGGTGACCAAAGAGCAGAACGTAATGCTGGCACTAATAGAAGGGATTGCGGATTTGAAACCAAACTTTCCTCCATGCTGTAATTCCTGCTGAAAATCCTTGTGAATTTCTTCTGGACCTTATATAGGTTTGGAAACTTCAGTGGTTCCAAAACACAGCAGCCTGATGGGTAACAGGGACTGTGTATGTGCTTTGTTCTAGATATTCCTTCGTGAATAAAGATGTCCTTGTTGCTCAGCCAAACATTCCTTTAAGCTATCCCATACAAGGAGCTGAGGTGATGCCTCTGCACACCATTGTGATTCCAGGTACTGTATGTTAATTTAAATTGCTGTCTGAATAATTAAAAGAGGGGGAGGATTTCCTGATCAATAACATCATTTGTCATTGGAAGAAGAGAAATTCTAATTTGACTGATAGGGTTGGTCCAAGATATATTGCTGCCAGAAGGATGAGATGGTGTGCCACCCTCACATTTCCACAGAGCGAAGCCAATTGGTCTGACAGTTGGATAACGTTCCTTCAACACTAGCATTGGGACAATATATTTCACTGCGCCTCAGGGCACAGACAGGCTTCAGGGCAGAATGCTCTGTCCTCCCATGCCTCTCTCCTGTTCCAGGTCCCTGAGCATCTGCTGCCTGATGCAGGTGACTGTATCACTCTGACAAACGATAGAACCGGCCCAAGAAAATGTGCAGAATCCATAGTAACGTGGGCAGATCTTGATATAGACTTCCATTTTCCATGTACAAAAAAAAAAAAAAAAAAAAAAAAAAAAAAAGATTTGGCCTGCTGGTTCTATCCTTGGAGAGTATTGTCTGACACTTTTGGGCACTTTTGAAACATAGTATTGTGCCATGCTATTGTTTTGAATTGAGTGTCTGTTTGCTTTTTCTTCTTGAAGGCCTTGGTTTCCATGGAGCAAGTACAGAAGGACACAAGGTGAGGTGATATTTCATAAAGCTCTGACATAACAGGTGGTAGTGCTCCAGGCTAGACATTGTAATGGGGAGGGGGAGAGGGGCACATTCCTTTCGAGAAGTGTGAGAAACAAGAGTGAGGAAGGGCGCAGACTCAGGCTATGAAAACGGCATGCTTCTTGAATGTTGAACCAGTTGCAGTGGGTGGGTAGGGGACATCGGAGAAAATCTTTTATCTCGCCACTAATCGCAAAGAAGCTATATTTTCTTGACTGGTTCTTGTTTATTTTAATGAGACTTATTCAGGCCCATAGTAGGCTTCGTGTGCCTCTGCCACGCTTTTCCTCTCTAATGTTCTATTCCACTGTCTGCTACAGCTGCCAAGACTCCACCATCTAATTTGATAAACAAAAGAGGACAATAAATCTTTCTGCTGTTAAAGATTGTGAGATAGTTGGCAAACTCTCTGTAACATATGTAGGTTAAAGACATCATAAGGGAGGAGAGATAAGTTGAGGTAGATAAAAGGGACGCACGAGAGTGAGTGAGAGCGAGCAGTTTTACAAGTTCGGTAGAAAGACAGTACTAGGAGTAGGTTAATGCTCTGAACTTGGAGCATCAAGGGTGTCAGTCTCCTAGGTGTGTGAATGGCTGGCAAATCCAGGTTCAGTTTAAAAATAAAGAACTGTTGGGAGGAAGATCAGTGGCCTGGAATTATTTCCCAGCTGCACATATAAGAATCCTACCACATCTGGGGGGATTTCTGAGACAGTTTAGTTGGGGTCTCAGCTGCTTCAACCCATCCCTTGAGCAAAGTCTCACTACACTGCACAGGTATTTCCACAGAAGCATCATTTTCCTTCGGTCTCAGAACTGCGACTCACAACCTATCTCCTGAGAGTTATCAGTTCTTTCACGGCTCTTTCAGATCCATGTTATTCATTTCCCTATACCCCTCAGTTTTACCTTTAGTCTGGTTTAGATAAGGAGAAGGTATTTCCTTGTCCCTAAAGCTTTTTTCTCTATCTCTTGCTGTTCTCGCTTTCTACAAAAACTACAGGTGATTCTTCAGGCATCCTTTGGTGGGCTGAATACTCTTGCTGATGTTTCTGAAGATGTGGTGCAGGGACGAGGGGAGAAAGAACTGATTATCTCCACTGCCCATGTGGCACTGCTGAATCACATCTTGCAGCATGTCACATACACAAGTACAAAATACCTACTTGATGTAGTGGACATGGGTGAGTTAGTCCTGCTATGTCTGGAGAAGCCTTCCCACTCAGAGCTGAGAAAAAGATAATTTTATTATTGTTATTAGTATTGTTGTTGTTGTTTGTTATTGTTATTAAACTTCAGGCAGAGTCAAAATTATAAAATATTGGTATTATCTAACAGATACAAGTTTTAACCAAAACCAGAAGTATATGTTAAATATCAGGGCAGTGTGTGTGCTGTTCCTAATATTGCCATTTTTGTAGCTCTGATGGTGTGATTTCTGAGATCTGCAACTGCTTATAGCATTGTGTGAAATTTCTTGATATTGTTCCCCAAGTCCCGATGACTGTGGGGACCACTGAAGTGTGTTTCTTCCAGAGGCGAGGTGTTTCTATTTCCAGGTCTCTGTTATTTGCTAGTTTTTCAAATTCTTTATTTTCAACTCTGGCATCCCTTGGAATTGCAATGTCAATGATCAAAACAATCCTTCATTCTATTACTACTTTGTCTGGTGTGTTATGTTCAAGTTGTCTATTAGTTTGTATCTTGGAACTCCACAAGATCTTGACTTCCTCATTTTCTGACACCTCCTCTACTTGATGTTCCCATGGATTTTTAGAGGCTGGCAAGTTTTGTTTTTTATATTTTTTGCATACTGACCAGTACACTAATTTTGCCACTCCATCATGTCTGGTTTTGTAATCTGTTTCTGCAGTCTGTGGACAGTCATAGGCAAGGTGTGACACAGTTTCATCTTTTTCTTGGCGGACTTGATATTTGCTGTTAGCGCTAATTCTTTGTTGTTGTTGTTACAATCAAAACAATATTTGACTGGTATTATATAGCAAGACATTTTAACAAAATATCTGTAGCCTGTTGCTATTATTATCATTTTTTGCAGCTCTGCTCACTTTATTTGAAAGATCTGCAAGTCATTATAATATTTGAGAAAATTGTCTAACATTTACAATTATAAGTTGTTATTATTATTGTTATTGCCGGTGACCACCTGGCACAGCCACTTCAGTTCTGAGAGTTGTAACCTTCCTGAGCTTCGAAACTAAGCAACCGCCTGCTTCACCGCTTGCTTTCTAGTGAGCTTCCGAATTGGAGCCCATCATGTGAAGTTTCCTGTGACCATCCAGCAACCACGCCTTCCTAAACTGTTTGACCCAGGACCAGGTGAGCTTTGGGTCCACACACAAACAGCAACATTGTGAGAGCAGAAATCATTATTGGCTCTTCTGAAACAATATGAGCCAAAGTGGAGCCGTGTAGAATAGCGGACAGGGCATTCGACTTGGGAGAACCATGAAAATGATTGGGTAGTGATCTGTTGAAGATAAAGTTAAATAAATAAATAAAATAAAGAGGAGAGGTATTTAAGCTGCTCTTGGAGAACAAGTGGGATGTACATGAAATAAATGTAACAAAAGCAAACATTTTATGAATCTAGGTATGAGCATAAGTGCCAAAACATCCCTTTGACATTCCTTCTTCCACTGTGAATCAGCTAGCTTTCTTGTCGTATTTATAGCCTCACTTTCCTCCAAGAAGTTCAGGACAGTATATTTGATCCCCTCCCCCCTTTTACTGGCACAACAACCCTGTGAGGTAAATGAGACAGAGAATTATTAGCTGGCCCGAGTTCACCTCTGCGCTTAATGCTTTATTAATCTTCCAGCAATGGTCTGAACAAGGCTATAGAGTATTTATACCCTGGGAGACAAAACCATACATGCCCCACACCCTCCAATTTCATTTTCTTTGTGCTTTAGAGAACAACATTCGCAATCTGGTGACCATCACGACGAAGACTTTCTTGCGCTACCACAAGCTGCGGGTTCTCATCAAGAGCATACGGCAATATTACCCAGATATAACAATCATTGTGGCAGATGACAGTGAACATCCAGAGACAATTCAAGAAGCTAATGTTGAACACTTCATCATGCCCTTTGGAAAGGTGCTCACACACACGAATGTGGCTGACTTTGTCTTTTAATGCCACCCAACGGGGATTTCCTGACTGTTTGTTCAGCATATATGGCACTGGTGGGGAAAAGCTTGATGGGCAAAGGGGTATATACTGAATATGCCAGCTTTTGCCTGTTCCCCAGCCATTTACAGATTTGGCTCCCTTCCAGCTAACAGAACTTATTAGAGATGAGAGGGGCGGAGTACCTAATAAGCCTAGATGGAGAAGAGATGCAAAGTAAGCTCCTTTGTGGCTTGGAGCTTCTTATAAGGCTGCTATAGGGAACTGAGCTACCCTGCCTATACAGCATAAGAACTAGGCCTTGGGGCAGGACTGGAGAATCTTTGGCCCTTCAGATGTTTTAAACTACAACTTCCACAGCACCCGCTGGCTATCCTGAATGGAGATGATGGGAATTTTAGGCAAAAAGGTCTGGGGCTGAGCCAAAGGTACCCCAGACCCACCTCAAGAGTTATCACTGGAAAGAAAAGGAGCCATAGTTTTGGTTCTTCCCTCATATTACAGAGCTTTATACCAAAACATAGGTAGCCCAGGGGAAGCAGAGGTATAGTACTGGCTCTTGCACTATTGGAATAGTGTAGGAACAAAGACTGAAGTACAGATATGGCAAGTAAAAGGTAAAGGTAAAGGTAAAGGTTCCCCTTGACAATTTTTGTCCAGTCGTGTTCGACTCTAGGGGGCAGTGCTCATCCCTGTTTCCAAGCCATAGAGCCAGCATTTGTCCAGAGACAATCTTCCGTGGTCACATGGCCAGTGCGGCTTAGACACGGAACGCTGTTACCTTCCCATGCTTTCGAACCGCTAGGTAGGCGGGAGCTGGGACAAACGACGGGAGCTCACTCTGTTGCGTGGATTCGATCTTACGACTGCTTGGTCTTCTGACCCTGCAGCACAGGCTTCTGCGGGTTAGCCCGCAGTGCCACCACGTCCCTGATATGGCAAGTGGCACATAGATATTTCACATACTGTATATTATTAATGTGTGAGCCTGGCCAGGTCCCCATCCACCTCTCCTACTAAAGCCAGCTGAGCAACATGTGTTTCTGCAGATGTTGTTGGACTGCAACTCCCATCGGCTGCAGTCAGCATAGCCAGTAGTGCGGGATGATGGGAGTTGTGTTTGAACAACATGTACAAGCCATGGGCTACCCAACTTTATTTTCAAACCTTGCTTCAAAAGGCTGCACAACTTTCCTGTTGTGGGAAAATTTTAAAACTTGTCAGTGAAACAATTGTACGTGTTCTTACTCTCATTTTTGGTTTGTTTCATCATCAGGGCTGGTTTGCAGGAAGAAACTTGGCTATCTCCCAAGTCACAACCAAATACTACCTCTGGGTAGATGATGACTTCTCATTCACTGAGAAAACCAAGATTGAGAAACTGGTGGATGTGTTAGAGAACACCGACTTGGATGTGGTATGAAATTCAGGCAATCTTCTCATCCTCCAGCTTCCTGGTTTTAATGGGCACTCTACTATTGGCTCAGCCTGATTCTGGACAATGGATTTTAAAATTTTATTTAAATTTTATTTTTCACTGTTTTTCTAGAACAAGCGGTGCTCAACTTGAGAGGGTCTGGGTCTTAATATAATGAGAAATCAATGTTCCCAACACCACCTGGACCACTGTGATCTGTCTGGATCAGTTTCAACCCAAGTAATTGTTGTTGTCTTTTAGTCGTTAAGTCGTGACCGACTCTTCAACACCCCATGGACCAGAGCATGCCAGGCCCTCCTGTCTTCCACTGCCTCCTGGAGTTGGGTCAAATTCATGTTGGTAGCTTCCATGACACTGTCCAACCATCTCATCCTCTGTCGTCCCCTTCTCCTCTTGCCTTCACACTTTCCCAACATCAGGGTCTTTTCCAAGGAGTCTTCTCTTCTCATGAGATGGGCAAAGTATTGGAACACTCAAGGTTGATTTCTTTTAAAATGGATAGGTTTGTTCTCCTTGCAGTCCAGGGGACTCTCAAGAGCCTCCTCCAGCACCACAAAAGCATCAAATTTTTGGCAATCAGCCATCTTTATGGTCCAGCTCTCACTTCCATACATCGCTACTGGAAAAACCATAGTTTTGACTATGCAGACCTTTGTCAGAGAGGTGATGTCTCTGCTTTTTAAAATGCTGTCTAGGTTTGCCATTGCTTTCCTCCCAAGAAGCAGGTGTCTTTTAATTTCGTGGCTGCCGTCACCATCTGCAGTGATCATGGAGCCCAAGAAAGTAAAATCTGTCACTGCCTCCATATCTTCCCCTTCTATTTCCCAAGAGGTGATGGGACCAGTGGCCATGATCTTAGTTTTTTTGATGTTGAACTTGACACCATTTTTTGCACACTCCTTTCACCCTCGTTAAGAGGTTCTTTAATTCCTCCTCACTTTCTGCTATCAGAGTGGTATCATCTGCATATCTGAGGTTGTTGATATTTCTTCTGGCAATCTTAATTCTGGTTTGGGGTTCCTCCAGTCCAGCCTTTCACATGATGTATTCTGCATATAAATTAAAAGGGGCTTTAATTTAATCAATTCAAAGCGGTCAGTTAATCTAAACTATAAAAACTGAAAGCCTAGGTCAAGGATTTTCTTTCCGTAGACGTGTTCTTTCTGGTGGTTTAATATTGCCACAGCATATTAACCACCACAGAATCATATCCTAGGTGGAAGATAATGACGAAGGATTTCTGTTCCCTGGGCATATGTTGGGAATTACCAAGGGCCAGATTATATGTTATGATTAAATGTGTAATTCCATTTGATGAGTTTGAGTTCTGTTCTTGTATGTTACAAAGTTGTTGGGGATGAGTGGGATGAACTATCAGGATTAGGGATACAAGGAATGACACTGACACTGCATTGTTTGAAAAATAATCTTGGTGTTGCTATTTGTGGAATGCTCTTCTTCAAGTGGAGTGTGAAAAATAAAGGCCTTCATGCATAGTGCAGTTCCAGTTCTGACTGCCCCCTTGGTCTCTTTTGATACCTCCTAATTGACAATAACAAATATAAGCATGGTAAATGCAGTCACACACTTTACATTTCATGTATTTTGACCATGAGACAGACTAAAATTGTGCTCAGCAAAATTAGAATTGGATCTTTACCCCAGGAGGCTGAGAATGGCAACTTCCTATCCTCACCTCCCAACTTTTTGTTTCCAAAGTAATATTTTACATTTTAGGCATTAGCCTTCATTCTGGTTTGCTGAGGTGAGAAAAAAATTATGCTATTATTAAGCCAAGTATGTATGGGCAAACTTCCTACATCTGCAGCTCCACATTGCAGGGGACGATTGCTAGCAACAAGTACTGTATGTGACTTTCAGGAAATCTTCTGCAGAATTTGGAAAGGTTCCTATATGTTGGACTATAAAAAGTGAAAAAGCAAAGCATGCTGCTTATATACCATCCCACAGAGCGTAAAGCACTTTCTGGGTGGTTTATAATTTAATTATGCAGGCTACACATCCCCCCCCAGTCCCTATGAGCTGGGTACTTAATTTACCTACCTCAGAAGGATGGAAGGCTGAATGAACCCTGAGCCAGCTACCTGGGACAGAACCCCAGGTCATGAGCAGGGTTTGGGCTGCAGTACTATAGTTTAACCACTGTGATATGAGTTTCAGTGATGGAGTAGTTAAACTCCCAAAATACTCAGGCCAGCACGATCATGAGGGATTTAAGAGTTATAGAAAAATAATACTTAAACAAAAATCCAAACTGATTTTTCCCCCTTCTGGTGAACTTCTCATTGAAGCCCAAATGAACCCTCATTGGTTAGTGTGCAGACTAAAAAGCAATGATTACACCACTCTTTGGGTCTTCAATGGAATGAACCATGCAAATATCGACAGTTAAAATATGTCTGCAAAATCTGGGTTCATTGCAAGGCTGGCTAGTGCTGATCTGGAGCCTGTGTAATTTATAGGTTGGAGGCAGTGTGGACGGAAACGATTACAAGTTTAAGATCATCGTTGAGGAAGGAGAGGGAAGCGGCTGCGTGCATCTCAGACACGGCTCTTACCATCCTTTGGAAGGCTTTCCCAACTGTGTAGTCACCAGTGGTGTGGTCAACTTCTTTCTTGCTCGTACAGAGGAGAGCAGAAGTATTGGATTTGATCCAAAGCTGCTGAGAGTAGCCCACCTAGGTAAGCACATCACCTCTGCACGTAAATATGGTTTTGGCTAAGTCTGTGTAGCATTTTAACACCTGTTGGAAGCATGTACAGTGGACCCTCAACTTACAGACGGCTCAATTTACAGACTTTTCGAGTTACAGACTTTTTCAAAATTTAGCTTCGACTTACAGTTGGAGAATCGACCTGCAGACCAGAAAAAAACCAAAATGGAACAAAAACGGCCGGTTACGGATTAATCAGTTTTCGATGCATTGTAGGTCAATGGAGACTCAACCTACAGACTTTTCGACCTGCAGCCACTGTTCCAATACGGATTAATTCTGTAAGTAGAGGGTCCACTGTAAAGGGTACAAGTTTCCAGAGTGTGTTTGCATTGCTTGGCAGCATTCATGTTAAACTGTTGTGTTTGTTACTTCTCCCAGTGGCACAGGTAAGTCTGAAGCTGGTGGTTCTTGGTTGCAGCAGGCTACTGCCCTCTAGAAAGAAAACCTCTTGAGCCAGACTGCTCAGATGTAAGGGAGAAAGCAGGGTGGCATGTGGTTTGAGGAGCAGGGGACTCTCAACCTGACATGGTGGTGGTGGGGAAATTGCCCCACAGCTCAGGCTAAAGGATGCCTGTGAGAGAATGATTTCAAAGCCTGCAGTGTTCATTCTTGCTTTATCTCAGGGAGCATAATGGCCTACAAAAGAACAAGGAGGAAAGCAGGTGTGGATTGTCATGGTAAAAAGAATGAGAGCAAAAGGATGCTTACCTCCCACATCTCCCTTGATTAACCTGTAATATTCAAAGGACACAAAACAGGAAAATATCAACTAAAGGAGAATGTCTGGATTTTGCTGTAGGCTTCTTAAGTGGCTTTTTTCAACAACCACCACTAGTTTTTAATGAGAGAAACTACTTCCTCAGGGATGGAAAGGGGAAATGTTACATCCTCCAGCTAAGGCTTTCTGTTCCTCATTTATTCACTTCCATAATATTTAGCTGAGAATTTTGTAGATGGGCTTATCAAATCAAAATATCTAAGCCCTTTCCATACATGTCGTTCACAGTTGTGAGGCATGAATTTGAAAGCTACACTTCTACATTGTAGTGTGACAGTTCTGCAACCTCTTCCCTCTCCAATTCATTCATTAGCTCACCTCCTTTCCAGAGCAGGGACCCAAATCACAGACCTTGAAAAGAGGAAGGCCGTAGATAAGCCTTGGTGCTCCATGTAATCAGTATCCCTGGGTGTTGAGGCACACATATAGGATGGAATGCTTACATGAACAATATTCCTTATCAGACATCTGTGTTAGGCATCTAAATGGAGTGAGGGGGCTATGGAGGAAGATCATGAAAAGAGCAGAGATTGGAAAGATAAACATTTTTTACTTCAACTTCCAGGATACTCTAGCTAGTGTACCAGCAGGGGGATTTTGGGAATTGTAGTAAAAGAGTTCTACTGTTGAAAAATCTGTGGGTATTTGCAGGTGAGGCTCCTAATACCAATGGTTGCAGAGCATGGATCAGAATTTTGTTCGGTTTACACAGTGCAAGCCAAAATAGCATCACCAGCCTCTGTGACTGTATTGTGTGTGCTGGTTGTGCACTCAGTTGAGTGCCTGGGTATGCAACATATGGTAGTAAAATTGCAAAAACTGTTGGTCCAATCTTTTATTGGTGTAGTATTTTGCAATAAGATCTTGGCCACGGAGTAGTGATCATCTTTTGCTCTTTAATGGATTTTCTGTGGCGACAGGAATGAGTGGAAAAACAGTGACGGGGCAAGGCAGTGGAGGATGCCAAATCCTGATGCCCCCATAAAATTCAGTGAATGAGGCAAGGCCACAACATGGTAAAATCTTTGTCTGGAGAGTGGAAGCATTCTGCACTTTAATTTGTTCTGTGACTTTCCATTTCCAACTTTCTCTTCAGAATATTTTATGGATGGACTGGGAAGCTTACGGGTCGGCTCTTGCAGTCATGTTGTCGTGGGTCACCAGCCACACAGGCCTGCAACAGACCCAAAGGACCGTCATATTGAGGAAGTGTATGGAAGATTCCGGACCAAGACAGAGAAAGAGACCCGGTTTAAGCTGGCTTTACATTACTTTAAGAACAGGATGAAATGCTTCACAAAGGGATGATGACAACCATTGTCCAACTTTGTTGCTCGTCTTATGGCTCCCCAGATCTGACACTTTGGGGCAACACTGGACTGAGCTCAGACTGTGATCTTGTTTTAAGGACTATTATTTTCCTGGAGCCAGACTCTGACAGAATTCTAGACTTGGTGAATAAAGACTGATGTTTATAGTTCTGGAGTTTCCCTCCGTGGAAATTTGTGCAGCCGGATCATGAAACAGGAGTCTCACTGCTTTTCCTTCCCCCCTGGTTCCTTAAGCAATTACCTCTAGATACTTAACAAACCTGTGATTTTTGTGTGGCAATGGAGAAGCCATCTTGTACATGCTGCATGTAAAAGACATGGTAACACAAGAGTGATCAAATGTGACCAAATGTGGTATTGTGGTATGTTTCTATGTAGGATACTCCATTCCTTCCCATTACCCTTCCTATTGTGTCCCTTCCTCACCAACCTCAGACAGACAGCATTATTTGTTCTTGACCCTTAGTGGGCTCTGATGTGATGTGAAAGGATTACCTCTTTGGGTCTCATTCCCTATAAAGTTTGACTTTGCACTTTCTCAGAAACCGGCAATCCCCCAAACCTATATTTGCTTCTGTCTTGCGTGTAAATCGCACGTTTTTCAACTGCACCAGGATCGATATCTAAGGAATATGTGGGCTTTACACAATACAAAAGCAAGGGCAGGCAATACCTTTATTAGACCACTAAAAATACCAGTAATTTAAAAATAAACAAAACTGCTAGGTTTCAGCCTTACCTTTCTTCCTCAGGCTGTGTATGGTGCAGAAAAAAACATGGAAGTCCCCAAAATCATGGCAGATGTCTGTACCAGGTCTGTTTCTTAAAAGTGAGCTCCAAAACAGGAGGTACAAACACAAGTCAGGAGCCTAGCTTTCAGATTTCACCTCAGTAGCCTCTGGTTGAACCAGTGGAATTTACCTGATGAAGAAAGAGTTTAGAAAAACTCCCAAATTCCCCCTACAGCGTGGGGAACTCTGGGAAATGTAATGGAAAATAGCAACTTGTTCCAGCTCTGACATACTTGAATGAATTATATTTGAAACCAACAAATTTAGTCTACTAGGCTTTATATACTACTGCATCTTGCAGTGGACCTTGTGCTGCCTGGATTTTGTTCCTTGTTTTTCAAAGCTGAGTTACATTGGGAATAAAGAAACTGAATCATAACTGTTTTTTTAAAAAAACATAGGTACACAGTTGATACTTATAGACTGACTTATAGTTAAATTTTATAAAAAGGCCAAGAAGCTCTATTTTCTACCTCCTTTCATTGGGATTTTGAGTAAAAATGTTTTAAATTAAGATTTTGGTTGTTCCTTCATTTAGCAGACGAGGCAGAACACAAAAATATGAGACAACGCAGTCTCACCAACCCTTCCTTAGCACACAGATCTACAGTGTACCTCATTCTGTAGTAAGAAGTCATTCTAGATACATATTTAAGTAGAAAGAAGTATCTTTGCTCACACTTGGTACCTTGTGGTTATAGCCAGAAGGACAAAATGGAGTCTCCTGTATGCAGAGAACTTCCATGGCTATTTCTTAGAGGATGGTCAGGGAAGACGACAGCAATCCGCAAAACAAAAGTAAGTCCAGGTAAACAGGAAGGGCTGACTCCCAATGGCAGATTGGAAAAAAAACGTTACCAGTCAAATTAATGGCAATGAATGGGGCTGGAAACCGCAGATAGCCAGTGTCATACAGAGACATAAGCTTGCTATTTTTTAAGTTGCAAGAGCTACTGGTTAAAAAGACAGATGGTGCAGAACTTTTTATTGGGCATGTGGCCTGGGGCAGTGGGGAAGGAGAATTCTACTAGAGCTTGGTTTTAACTGAAACATTTTAAAACTAAAAACCAGAGCTTGGGAATTTGTTTTTGGACCACAACTTCCATAATCCTCCAGCCAAACAGAGCTTTTGAGAGTTGTAACCCCAAAAACAAACTTTTGCAAGTTTGGAAACATTACAAATGCTGTCAAGCACTTCCAAGTGACTAATGTTATCGCTATTAACCACCTTGATACCAACTGTCAGAAGGGACAGATATAATTCTAAAGACAAAATATAATAGGACTGAACATGTGGTTTTGGCCTGTAGAACCAAGGATGGGGTGGAGGAGGGCATGTGGCTATTACAGGGAGGAGTGCTGGATTTGAGATGAAAAAGGTCAAGACAGCTGCCTGAGTAAGGACCAAATGTGCCTATCCAAGCAGAATGAGGATGCTCGGCTGTGTGGTTAACTCGGGTGGTTGGTTGCCTGGCTCTTCCCAAACGGGAAACTCCAGTGGCTGTGAAAGGTCTCCAGTTTCAATACTTGGAACTCTTGACATCACCTAGAATGCTTGCTTGGAAGATGATGGCACCCAAGATCCCTTCATCTGTTATTTCCGGCTTTGCTACTTTTTTTTTTGTTCAGAGCTCAGTTTCCTGATCTACCACCATATGAGATAATCACAGTGGAGGGCCAAAGGTTTGGTGATGGTAAAGACCGCACTTGAAAGTGCAATAGAAAATGTTAAGGATTAAATCAGAGCAGAAACGGTAAGATATTTTGTTTAAAATTCTTCTTTTATTTTTTTTAAAAAATGACACAGTGGAGTAAAGCAGTTTGTGGCAAATATCAAGCTGGAAGAAAAATGGAGCCAGAGTCCATCCATTATCACAACTTTGGATCTGAGCCAACTAACCTGCCTCATGCAAAAAGACAAGGGGATCAAAGGACAGCGATTAGAAAGAGAAACTCAAAGGGAGAAAGGGTTTCAAAAAGACGTTTTTTAAGCAATTGACCTAAAAGAAGAAAACAATGTTTAAAGAATACAGCCTTTCAATGACAGGGTCTGAATTCACAATGATTTCAATGGCTTCCAACAAAAGGGGTTTGACATGCACTTACAATATCGTATGGCAAACAGATTCCTTTCCAAATTCACACAAGTTTCTTTTTTGCTTGTATTGTTTTGCATAATCACTATTTATCCAATATGATTACAGCAGTTGGCTACTGTGATACAGGAGAGAATCAGGACCTCCATTAAAGTAGCAAAATAGTTTAATATGAGATCATCAAAAAAGTAAACTGGAAGTTGCCTTTTTTTTCCCTTGCCTGAGATGGGTTTGAAGAAACATTACAGAAGTTTGCGGACAGCAGGTCCATCACAACAGGTAGCAGCCATAGTAATGGGATTGAGCTAGACCACCAGATGCTGGTGGTAAGCCACAGGAAGTGGCAACTCAGTCAGGTCCCTTGCTGGGAAGATTCTCAGAACCAACTCATTGGTGGTTTTGGAATATTCTGCTCAGAACTCAAGAAAGTTACTTGTTAAAAAGAACAGTTCTCTGAATCCACCAGCCAGAGTGGCCAATTCTGGGAGCTTGCAAGCTAAAAATAACTTTTCTGTGCTCTGTCTTGGTTAAAGATTACGGACCCAGCAAGACGATCTTTATGATTGCTCCCGTTCTCTCTGCGTCAACTTGGTTTGATAAACCATTGTAAAAAAAAAATCCATCAAGGTTTTATGTTTTTATAAACACATTCAGCACCCTTGAAGGAGATAAAAAGATTTGCAAAAAAGCTACGCACTTGTGTGTCTTAAGGCACAATTCAATTAACTGCTGGTAGACAGAATTTCTGTCAGCGCTTATGCCAAGAATGTGGAAAGAATATGGGTGTGATGTGTTCCAATGGGGTTATTAGGAAAAAGAAAAAAAAACAAGCATGTGTACTTTAAAAACAATAGTCATAAAAGAGAGAGAATGGTTGAGGTTTCAGGGCTCTTACAAACTAACAAAATACTTCAAAAAGACAATCAGTTAATCAGCTTGTAGAGGAGAGATGGTTTATACCGCCTCACAGAACACATGTAGTCATCCCAACAGTTTATTGTTGGTGGCGTATGGCCATGAATGGTTTCTACAGGGCTCTCATGCTCTAAACTGTGTTGCCTTTGTCTACCTAACTGCCTTGGCAGAGTAACGTGAAACAACTAGAGCCCATTTTACAGACTAGACACACTGAAGCTGAGAAACAGACCAACCATTCTTATCCAACAAATTTACTCACACAACGAAGATCTTCAGTAGTGGGCTAGTTGGGGGCGGGGATGGCCGAGCAGAAGAGAACTGCAGCTAACAACAGGGTTGTTTGCAGCCTCGTAGTAATCTGCAAGTAGGAATGTTACTTGTTGGCATGCTGTTCACTGGAGTGTCCAGCACATTTGCAGCCTTTTGGCTGCTCCCATTGCTCAATAGGTCCAATGATCCCATGCCAAAAACCTGAACATGGTTTTGCTCAACAATGCATCTACTGAGACATGCAGTGGCATGTTGGCTATACCAGGTGTTTGTTGCCAGTGTGACATGCCATCCCCTCAACCTGTGTTGCAGACAGCTTGCCTCTAAGTCTGCTAATTCACTGACCTCTACAATTCATCAAGTCTGCTTTAAAATGCAGAGAGCCCATAGTTGCTATTTCTTTTTATTTATTTTTAATTTTAAGAAGAATATTTCTTGGAAGGGAAAAAAGTATTTTTTCCCCTCAACACTACACAGCATGTTGTATTATCACTACCTATTTATTTATTTTTAATCTACTGGTGCTAAGAGGTAGATAAACAAACATGGATTGGTTATATTCATATCATACGTCTATATGGTCATCATGCCCTCTGGATGACATGAAGTGGAGCTCAACAGGCACTTTGAAAAGGGTGCTGGCAGACAACACAACTGGCTGAGAAACTGGGAGTTTTGACTTAAGAAGCATCCAATCTGACCTAAGCCAAAAGACACCTTACTGGAGCAGGATGCCAGTGGTGGTCTACCCTTTGTTTCGGACGTACAGTGTGCAGAATGGCTGTGATTCAAAGGGAGAGTGTCAGACCATGGCTTAAATTCCTACTGCCTGGGGGCAAGGGGAAGCCCACAACATACTTGGCAGGCAGTCTCCTGAAAATTAGAACTGAACTTTTGAATTTAACAGAGCTCTTAATCAGGCTTAGCTGTTTAAAACTAAACTTTTGGGGGGGGGAGACAAAAAAAGGTACAGCCCTAAAAACATTATTCAAAGCTTTGTTCAGGAGGCTGGAGCAGACAGCAGTTCTGGTCCGGGAAGTGCAATCCAAAAGGGCAAAGAGGTCTCCAGATGTGCTGTGAGACAGGGGTTTTTAACCCCCCAGTCTGTGGGCTTGCCAGAACTAGGTTGCAGATACGGATCTTGCCCCCCGCATGCACGGGAGGCATGTCATCCATGCAGAGGGCGTCACACACGCATGTGTGACACCCCCCCGCAAGCACAACATGCCCATTGCGCAAGTGTGACCTCCCACATGCATAGAGCTTGCTCCCCCCCAGCCAGTCCATGGCCCCAAAAAGGTTGGGGACCGCTGCTGTAACTGGTTGCTGGATGTGCGTAGGTAGGTGTCTGGGAGCATCACAGCCTGCTGTTCCAGATTACAGCAACTGTTCAGAGATGTTAAACATCTAAAGTTGGATTCTTGCAGACCTATTAATATTTACAGTAGACCCCCCTGAAATAAATTGTAGTAATTGCTAACTTTAAATTATATGGATTTAAATGGGTCTAGATCTGGATCCAACCCTTAATCCTTGTAGATGGGTTCAGCTCAACATAGCCTTTGGCAATTTAGCAACCATGGATTAAGGTATTACTCTTTGGC